TTACCTTGGATGCTTTCAAACAACCAGACCTTATAAAAATCTGTACTTTAGTTCGGTAATCCATTTATTTCTCCTCAATAAAGCTAAATACTCTAAATCATATAATGCTCCCTTTAACTTTAACTTCAAAAATACACAAATAGGAGTAAAACAAAGAGTCAAATGGGTAGAAGTGACCTCATCATCAACAGTGCCTATCTTTTCTAAGACAACAACATTAGTATTCAATATCAGAGGTTCTACACTGGAATGCCTAATGTGATTTTCCATTTCAACTTAAGTTAGAAGTTTTCTTAGGTGCCTTCTTATAGCTTCTAATATAACATTCTAATAACTTTGATACTAGTATGTCCAATACTCGCGATGATTTAATGCATAAAGAATGAAGAAATTTATTACCTTGGATCAATCCTTAGCTTATCATACGAACGTGGACACTCCAAAGAACTGGCATAAAGCTTTTTAAGAAAGCTGCACAAACATGACAGATATAAATCTTCAGCTAATACGCAGATCTTAATATGCAATGTCTCATGAAAGCAGTTCTGTTCTCATCTCTGTCAAAGGGAAAGGAATTTATCGACGGAAACCATTTTTACCAATGAAAATATGTTCGCCCTCCAGTCCTGGGGACATGAAGAAAAAAGAGCAAGTTCTGCAAGACATGTTTGTCATCTTTGACTTCCAAGTCAAGTGAAGAAGACGCCCACTGCTTGACAATGTGTTCGCATTGCTTGAAGCCCTCTTTGCTCACAGATGCCTTTGATATGGTAGAAACTAGGAACCAAACAACATTATCAATTTCCAGATAAATATAAATCCCCATTCCCCTAAAATGAGCCCCATCACATGCTGAGCAAAATCTTATGAACTTCAAGTGAATCGTATCCATAATGCTTCACTTACAACATAAACAGCATTGACGAGTAACTTCACAAACAAAACACACAAGGATAGACATCCTCATCATGACAATATTTAATCATCAGTATCATGAAACATTCCTCTTTTGATCAGAGCTATAGTAGAAATTTTCAGACAAAAAATTTTAAATCACAAGAAGGCCTCAAGAACTTACAAGCCATCACCCTTTTCCAAGGGTCAAACTTTAAGCTAATCGCTTAGAGAGAGATATTTTTGCTGTTTAACTTTGCTAAACATATCAGAGGTTCAAAGACTCAATCAGCTTCTTTTAACAAACATGTTCTACGAACCCCAAGAAAAAGGGGAAATCAAGAGATGAACGTGCTAGCCAGAAGTAGAATGTCCATGCAATACTAGAAATAAACAAAGAGGTATAGTTTTAAGCAAGTATATAGTGAGAAACATATATTTCTTAAGGAGAAAAATAGCTAAATTTCCTTCAAACCAAAATCTTTCATCCATAAGATAAAGTACAAAGAATAAGCAATAAATAAAGAGACATACCCAAGAGCAAAAACACCAGGATCACAAGAACGTCAAACTTATCACCTATCTGCCTCATCCCCACCTCCAATCTTTCCCAAAAGTCAAACTGAAACGATGAAGAGGAACCTTTTACAATCAGAATCCTCCAGTGAAGTGTACACAGTCATAACTATTCAAGAATCAAAGTAAAGATTCAAACTTCAGCACTTTTAACAGTGATCGCCAAAATTTGTGTGTGTGTGTGTGTGGGGTGGGGGGGGTAGGGGGGTGGGGGGTA